CTTTGTTGAGAAAAGACTGGGCTTTGTTTTGGGAACCGAGTGCACGTGTGTATCGAGTGATTCTAGGTAAGGGGAGAAAAAAGGCTAGCCGCAGGTCATAAATTTAACGAGTAGGCTAGGCTCAAGAAGGGTAGGCTAGCCACTCAAGACGAGCAAGAAGGAATGCTCTCCAGGAAGATTTATGGCTTCGGGGTAAACAATAAGCCGATAGCTAAGAGCGGACTAGAGTGCACGCCTACATAAGCTGTATATATAACTACGAACTTAGAAGTAAGAAACTTTTAAGGTTAAGGCTGGACTCAATTTTTTTGTGTAAAAATATTTCTAAGTTGATCGATAGAGATAGAATTAGAAGCTACTCGAGAGTAGGAGTCAGTTTATGGTTCACTTATGTGAGTTTCCTTGGTAGTTTTCTCTTCTACGGATACTTAATATTAGAAATAAGTTTAAGGGCATGCGAGTAGAACTAAGAAAGGACTCCGATTATGGTATAAAATAAATTTTTGTTGGGCGATAAACTAAGATAGGAACTTCGGACTTGGAGGTAAAAGTAACCTCCTAACTTAGAGGAATTCGGTTCTCTCGTACTTGAGAAGTAGTCTGCTGTAGGCATAGATTTTCGTAAGGTTAGATTCTGAGCAGCGCGTGTAAATTCTATGCCAGGGTATAGGCAGGCGTCGCTAGGGGGCCGAAGCAGGGAGTGTAGGGAATTCGCGGTTAGAGTCGAGTTGTAAACGAAGCGCGCTCGAGGAGGTCATAAACTACGAGTGATGGAATATATTCGTTTCGGTTCTAGACGGACGCTTGCGGCAGTGAAGCAATGAGGATTCGAATAGTAAAATTACTACCGCAGCAGTGGCAGTTAGAGCAGTTAGATGTCGACATAGAAGTTAAGGTTAGTAAAAGCAATCGTTTTTTTGTTTTCTCAGTGAGATATAATGCAGATTTGGAAATTCGACCGAGCCGGATAAGCCGGAAGAGAAATTCGACTTATTGAATTGTAAAGCAGGAACGAGATTCAAAATTCTGAAGTGCAGGATGAGCGGAGAAGACTCGAAAAAAAACAACAGGATTAAACGAGCGCCGAAAACGGTTTATAGTACGAAGTTTATGCGCTAGGAAATTAAATAGGTAGGGAGGAAGTATATTTTTGCTAGCATGGGTCGATTAAGTATGAATTACTCGGTGGAAAAATCTAGGAGGAAATCGGGAGAACAAGGATTTCGAAGACGAGGGTTGCGATAAAGAAAATATTACGAGGAGTACAAATTACTTCCGGATGCGATGATAAAAGTGCAAAAATTGTTGAAAATAGGTGAGTTTTAACGGCGATGAGCTGTGTGTTTAAACTCTGCAGGCCTGCAAACTAGATGGAAACATCTAGCTGGCTACAGTTCTCACCTTGTGAAACTCCAAGTGCCGGGAGATTAAACGTTGTACTGAGGTGCTGCAGTTTAATTCGATATTGCCGAAGTTAATGGATAGGGGGAATTATGACGCCGCGAGGAAAATAACGCGATGATTGATGAGATGCGATGATTAANGGCCCAGATCGGTGTAGGATGAGATTTTTCCTTCTGCAAGTAAGCCTGTGCTCTCCTTATTGTCATCATCCATGGCTCTGTAACTAGGCGTAGGGTATTTTTTTTAGTATATGAGGTCGGAGATAAATGTGTGTGTCACTCTCCTTGTCAAGTCGTAGCTGCCAGTATAGAGAACCTTCCATCGCGACCTATTGACCACTCGGACAATGTGCAAAAAAATACCAACCTGACAGTAAATAGCATACAGAAAAATTCTATCGAGAGAAAAGTTCATTCACGCGATTGATGAGATTAATCTAGGTGTCGAAATAACCGGTTGTATTGAAATAGATATAAATACTGGTCGTCGCAACCCCCTACATCGATAAGCATAGTTTCGGTTGCATTCACTACATCAAGACGAAAAGAAAAGTAGAAAAGAAATAAACGGAACGACCATTCTAATCAGAAGGACCGCGATAAAAATCAATGACCGAAGTCGTTGATGATTTTAGATCCTTATTATAACCTAAATTATTAATATTTAAACTGGTTATCGGCAGAACCAACAACTGATGCACGTTCGGTTTTTTATTCTAAGGCCCACAAGTTTTTATTAAACCTTCAGGTATGTGATGTTAGGAGGGCAATGCTTGATACAGTGATGGCACTGCCTCTCTAGACTACAAGCATTATACAAGGTACCTTCGAATATACACACCAGATCTTCAAAATTTGGATATTCTATGTCAACGTGATACTGTAGTTCGGTTCACATTATTCTATCCTTCGTCAGTGAATTATATAAGATTGTTTTATTCTATGGCGGTTGTGCGTGACGGTTGTGCGCATGACTCATCGCGGCGTAACTATCATGGAACCTCGCTACTTTTGGGACAAATTAATACAAACCATTCGGTGGTTCAAACGACATCGATGACAAAACTTAGTCCATGCTGTACGGATTTTATTTCATATAGTTACTTTATTCTGTTTGCTGCGCAAAATTTGTTGTTATACACGTAAAATGGTTAACCCCCACCCATTATATTCCCTATTAGGTGGGGGTTACCACTACCGCGGTACAGGGCTGTAGAAGGGACGTGAGCAAACGCGGAGACTGCTGGCGGCAGCTGTCTAGTAACTCTAGTTTCGCTAGAATTATTGTTCACATGTGGAGTGAGACGCATGCTTAAAATTTTAGTTGTGTAATAGTACGGTGGAAAGTGATGTATGCGACATGAAAATAATTTGTTTCAAATGTTAACATGTTAATTTTAAATATTTTTTGAAGCACAACTTTATTGTTTTACTATGAAGAGCTTCTTAAAAGTTAAAGTGATGTTCGTTGGAAACCGGCACTGGTATGGTGGCATTCAAGAACATATGTAGTTCAGCAAAGATTTCAGCAGTCCTAGAAATTTCCAACTTGGGGTATTTGTTAGCATGAGCGTGCTATTTGAGCTGCTCGTGTTCGTATGCCCTAGGTTCTAATTTCTGATTCATCATAAGGGTAGGCACACAGTGAAAGCAGGTTTGCCCGCGCGGGCAACCTGCTCCAAACTGCCATAAGAATGAACATAGGATAATAATGTAAGTGTTCACAGTGAAAACCTGTACGAATAGGCTTCAGTATTCTAAGATTTCAGGCGCCAGCCTGAGCAAGTAACCAGCACTCTGGCAACCTGCTTTCACTGTGTGCGTACCCTAATATCTGAATCGATTTGTGGAACCGGACAGTTAAGCATTTCAAACAGTCGACTTCACCCCATAACCAACAAGCTACTTCACACTTATGACTTCACCATCGAGCCGCTGCAAGCAAAACGTGTATGAACAAGGTCGCAGAGCGTTGTCGTAAGTAACTAAGCTGTTCGTTTCCCTTATTATGCGTTTTTTTTTCATTGTAGCATCGAGTTTTTTCCCGGAGTAAAATCAAAGTGTCGTTAAGAATTGGGTTATTTGCGAAGAATTACAAATTATAACAGGATAATTTTTTAAAATTGTCATAGTACATGGCAATGTTAGGAAGGCAACAAATTCCAATTGCAATTTTGGCTATAGTAATAGTTCTTTTATTTTTTACATGCAGAAGCTGAAGGCAGAATTTTATAGACCCATGCAAAACCGTTAACTGAACGTAACTTACTATAGTGACGTCTCTTGAAATGACAAATCCCTAGCAAATTATGCGGACTGGATGTTATGCGTGTATACACGAGGAAGTAGAAATACTCTCGAGTCTTGCCTTGAATTGCATTACCGCTAACAATTCATTATATTTTAGGCACTATATAGTTCATACCTAGAAACACAGATATGAAATTATTTGCTACTATGTTGAATCTACGCTATATTGAATTGGTTAAAGCTGTTCCCTGCATATGCACTATAGGCTGTTATTTGCAAATATTTTGGGAAAACTTTGAGGATTAGTTTAAGTGATTATTGCAGGAGAATGCTCAACAACATATGTGAATGTTTTGTGCTGGCGAATATGAGAAAAGTTTTAATACTGGTCAAGGCGAGAGAATGTTTCGCATTGTCCCGTACGGGGAAAATGTTTGGTACCCGCAATTGATAAGAATGTCTAAATTGGTTCGGGTAAATGGGATAAATGTTTCGGACATAGATAATGAGGGAGAATATTGAGCAGTGTTGAATATTTGAGAATGTCGATTGTGGAGTGCTAGTGGAAGTTCGTGTTTCTGGGTAATCGGAGAGATGGAGTTGAAAGTTGTAATAACTGATATTCCCAGTTCAAATTCAGGATACTATGCCATTTGCTTTATTGTAACGCGGGGATGCATTATTTATCTATTTTTCAGTCTAGTCTGCAAAAACAGCAGCAATTCAAATGCCCCCTCAGCAGCATATCGCAATTTAAATGCCCCTCCCTTCCCCCAATTTAGGGGGAAGAGAAGTGACATTTTTTGCGAAAATTTCAGATTCGGCCGTGTCCGTGCCGAAGCCATCAGGCGCCAAACACGCACGCCCCACGAACACCCCAAGTTAACTCGGTTAATGACGGGATTCTAATCTGACGCTTATTTTGCTCGTACAACCAGAACGTCAAGCGGATATAATTAAAGCCTCTTATATACGAGCTGGTCGAGCTAAAGTCGTCTTTAATTCAGAAGCTAACCACCTTCAAAATTTCGATAGGGTAGTTGGATTTTGATTTCTAGCATATACACTTCTGCAGAATCGAAATTAATCTGGCGTTATTGTAAAAAAAAAATTATCAGCATTGTCTCCTTTTTAACTAAGTATATGAAGCATATTTTGGTACTGATAATTTTTAATTGATAGCGACAATGTTTCAGGGCGGAAAATGTGTTTAATTTTCTTTCACTTTCCTTAATTTAAAATAGAAATTAAAGTGAGGTGCAATGCTTAGAAAAAAACTCAGAAATATATTCAGTATATTGTAACCTAGAGGATCATAAAGTTTGAATAACATGGAAAAACTCACAAGGAAGAACGTATGCGTAGCGGTTTTGGAACTTGTTGCAGGTTTTCGAAGCTTCGGTAGTTTCCTTCATGGGCTTGGGAAGTCTTTTATATTCGTCAATGATCTGCGCAGATATGAATCTGATTTAAGTTATTGACGCTCCAAATGAAACGCGTGAAAAAAAATATTCGTCGCCAATGATAATTTTCAGAAATTCTCCTTCGCAAAGAGAGAAGCATTCATCTTCAAATTTCGAAGTATTTGAATCGATTTTGAATTAATAGTAACGGTAATCCATGGGCTTCGGGAAAAATTTCAGAACTTTAACGTCAAAATTGAAAAAGCTTCGGATGAAATTCTAAGATTCTTCCGTCATTCTTGAAGGATGAACGATCCTCAAGTGTACAGTAGTACTGATGAAAATAAAACTGAATAATGAAGCAGAGAGGCTGATCATTAAACACTCAAGAATATCTCAACACTTTTGATACTCACCTCCTTACTAACTCCGAGCGACATCACATCAGGGTACCCATCATGGATCGGCGGTCGCTGGGATGGAGAGTTCAACAAGGGTTCCTCAAATTGACTATCCTTGTTCGAAGACATCTGCGTGTATCGATGCTCAGCTTGTGGGATATTGCCTGCGTGAAAGCTTTCAATTTTGTGAGATGGATGGTGATTCAATATCTTTTGCCGGTGCCTCCTTGCAGCAAAACGCACCAATTAGGCGTCTGAAGTACATTAGAAGACCCAAGACGATGAGGAACAAACAGATGACCACTACTATGCCCACAATCAACTCGATGTTTGGCTCTGTCAAGAGATAATACAAATTTATTTTAGATATCCTTATGTCTCACGGGCATTTAAAAATAATGAAAGGTATTCGTAGCATATACTAAATTGTGAATTCCTTGTGACTGAGATTCTACTAATTCAAAAGACAGTAGAAATTTGAACTGGCTGGTAATGTCGATATTGAAGCGTCAGCTGAAGATTGACACGACATGCAATCTTTAATAAATTGAAATTAATTCCAGCTGTTCTGACGCTAACTCCAATTAATCCATCAAAACCTTTTATGTTGTCAGTTAATCATCCTCGTATATGATTCATCTATGATGAACCAGATCTAACATATCAGTTCAGCTTCACTCTTCTTGGCACGTACCGTTGATCTATCGTTCCGCTTCATTCAACACAAAACAGTTTTTTGAGTGGGGTTATAGAGGGTGGGGCCAGTGGGTCAAGGCATCACAGCGCAAATGTGGGTCAAGCCACCATACCACAAAAACCATTTCTACGAATCTCGAGTTGGTTGCGTCCAATGGGGACAAGTCCTGCATTAGTTTGTGAACATTATCATCCAATGTCCACACTTTTTGGCGACCAAGCTGTCAGTCATTAATAACCAGTTAATATTTTCATTTTTTAATTATTAAATTTATTATAAACGTAAACTTTCAATAAATACCTAATTTTGCCTTATCACATAATAGAGTAATCTATTAGGTGCATAAATTAAATAATTTAATTTTGAATAAATGATTCACTGACTGAAACGTACTAATTAAAACACTTACTGATTCCTGGAACGAGAATGTAAGTGAGAAACTTTTTGTTGCAGATTATTAGAATTATTTGAAGGTTGGTTAGGTGAGGTAATGGGAGCGTGAACATCTCACCTGAAGGAGGGGACGAGGTGGTCGACGGCAAATCGTTGCTCGAGTTCTTTCTAAAATTGTCATTCGTTTTTCAGGGTAAGGAAAGACTGTCCGCTGTAATTTCAGTATGTCCACCACATAATAATCTATCCTATAAGCTAATTTTGATATTTTATTGATCGGTCATCTCGTGTGTCGATTTCCTTAGAACGCTTCTGTTTTCCTCTCAAATATCATATAAAATCTGGAATTTGTTTTTCTTTTTTGAACAATTAGATTCATCTAAGCGTGTTGAGTGAATACATGCTGCATCTTTACCGAATTCTTCTCCCCAAAGCAAGATATTTTTTCCTTTATTTTGACAACGGAAGGAAAAATTACATCTCCGGAATGAAACAATGTTGGGAACAAATTTCGTAATTTTAATGAACTTTGACACTTGTTTGAACACCTAAATACCGATATGGACAATGAGGACGCTTTTGTTTGCTCCGAAAGACAAAGATGTGAAAAGTGTAAATAGATGGAAATATTTCAATTAATTACGTTATCACTAACATTTTGATACAATCGCTATTACTAGCACAATATTCAAACCTGCAGTTAAACCTTTGATCCGAAGCCAGAGAGATTTTAGTTTCGTGTGTCGGTGATATTTTCTTTAAATTTATAATAAGACAATTAAAGAAGAAATTGCCACAATTTTAAACACAATAAAACTGTTCTACTACAATTTTCATTAGTATATACAGAACCGTAATGCAATAGACGAACACTGACACTGGAGGATTCTTGGTACCGTTTTGTTCGCAAAGGTACGAAGAATTTTCAAAGATAGGAGATATCAAGTTAGATAGCAGAGATACCTTATCCAACATTGACACCCTAGCAAGGCGGTAGTGACCCTATGATTACTAGCGCTTACGCGCGCCGCAAGAGAAAACGGAGAGAGAGTAGCTTGAGGGGGAGACTATTCAAGGGGTACGAGCAACTAGCGAATGTATGTAACAATGATCGATTGATGGAGCATAGTAGAACTGATAGGATAAAAAATTTAAATGTATGTAGAGGTCTAATTTTAAGGTTACGACATTGTTTAAATTGTACCGTGCCTTACCAAGAGATGTATTGCAGAACCGGGCCACTCCTGTGAGAAGCAAGACAGAAATAGATCGAGCAGCTCTGTGTACAAGAGAGGACGGGTCCCACACTCATAGAGGAAATTGTAAGGTACGGAGTCACGTGGTCGAAAAAAACGTCTCACTGGGTCATGGTAAGATAAACTAAGCTGCGAATAACCATATATATATATATATATATATATATGTATCTTTTTCCTTTGTATTTGGGTTTAAAGTGTGACGATATCAAATATAAACTGAATGTAAGGAATTTTTTTTGTTGTATGTTCACTAAAATAAGGATAATACTCTACCCTACATTCTATTGTTAAAACAGTATGCCTGCCTTGACCCAGGATGGGACTCGTTCATAAGACAACATAACATAGTTGACGTCGGCGCTGAAGGGTAGGCCTGAGGTGGACAGTCGCCGTTACATTCACAGTGATCAGTTAAAGTCAAAGATGAGTTAAAGACAACGTGACCTCGTACCAAGGGAACCGGAGTCTCATTTAGTGTTAGCCGAAATTCCTGTAAAAAATCTCGCGGTCAAAAATTCAAGAGTCCTATCCCTGTGGGTGGCAAAGAATTTAAGGGAACATGTACTTAACCCTCATATTCCACATGTACACGGGTTCCGATGCCGGGGGCCAAGGAGCGTCCGGGGCCAAGGAGCGTCCGGGGGACCAAGGAGCGTCCGCATTAAAAAGGGAATTCCACCGGGCACGATTGTCATTTTTCTTCCTATCATCTTTTTCTTTTATTTAAAGGGCCGACAAGAGGCTAAGTTACGTTCCTTTCTCCCTCTGTTTCTTCTTATTCATTAGTCCTTAGAAGAAATTGGAAACCACGGTCTTCGTAACCTCAGGCAAGGCAGTGAGGTGCATCGATCTATGAACGGATCAATCGCGAGACAAATCTGGCAAAAAAAGAAAATGCAGAAGCGAAAGAAAAAAAATGTGTTAGGAGTTAGAGAAGTAACCTTTTCTTTTTTTATTGTGTTGGCGAACATTCGAAATTAGTCACAGCCAGGACTTGTTTTGATTGAGATCGTCTACATTTTTTAGTTAAGTATAGTTTGTGTCGGATAGTTAGTGTGTGTAATACTTTTCATTTCATGATGGTCTTACTAGGAGTATTAGAGAGTGAGTTACGTTAAAATTTGTTTGGTGAAATTTTTCTTTTTTGTGTTCGTAAATTAAACGCACGATGTAACACTGGAAGTTTAAAACGCTTCAGAATATTCATTTCATTATTCTAGGGTCAGTAGTAATCAGTCGCTGTCATGGCCATAGAAGTAGACAGATTATTGGCGGGAAGTTTTTCTTCCTCTTCTCTATTTTTTTGGGTAATTATTTGGTGGATAAAAAAATTTTTGTTTTCTGATGAATGAAATACCAATACTGTGTCGTTAGGATGTCAATTAGGGTGGGTTTTGAAATGAAAATTTTCTTTTTTTTGTGTATTCCCATTTTCTTAGGATGTACGTGTCTCACAGTGTCATAAATTAGATATATATATATATATTTTTTTTCTTTCTCTCAATTCTTTTTATTACTTGTTGTGTATTGTGAATGTAAATGAAACAATGGTGAGCGAGTATAATTAGTGGAGCGTAATACCCTGGATAATATTTCTAAAATGTTTACGCTAAGTAATATTCTTTCTTTTTATGTCAAGAAAACCTTGTGGTAGGATGGTTAGTGCGTGATTTTTTTTCTCTTTCTTCTATCATTGTCACACTAGGGGTGTTGGGAGAGAGAGTTGTTTAAAATGTGGTTATGGATTTTCATTTTTTTTTGGTGTACGAAAAATTAAATTTTTAGTTTGAGCTAACTTCTCTGAGTAGGAAGATTCGTTTATTTTTTATTTTTTTTACGTGAATACAAAGAATACGCGTTAAAATTTGTCTAGAATTCAGTGACGCGCGATTAAAGTGATGGAATAGTTTAGCAAAAGTTTACAAAACATTTCTTTAGTTGGAATTTGATTGTTCATGTCAGTAGAGTGACCTGCCTGCTCGGACGTACTTCAACTCTGTGAAACATTACTTTTTGCTGTAAATAATTCCTAACGAATAGTTTTTCCGTTATTTCGTATCTTTGTGAGATGTTTAGTAGGACATTTTATGCCAGTATTGTGACTGTAGGTAAATGTAGAAGTTGTCACATTTATTAAAACACTAAAAATTGCGCTAGACCACCGACTAATTGATATTAAGGATGATTTTTCTGAGCATTTAATTGTGTATAAATTGTGGCGATAAATAATAGGGAACGGAATGGGTCAAACGAGTGCGGGTATCAACAGATATATCTATAGGATGTGACAATATAACAAGGAATTCCCAAAATAGAGGGCGATTAAATTGAAGAAGTATTGTGAAAGAATTGGATTGATACCATAAGTCCGTTTTAATGCTGACAGTTTTAATTCTGTGGAAAATTTACTTTAGCCACTGGGAGAAATTTATCCTGCCTCGATACTGTGCCAGAAATTGTTTGAGAAGAACTTGTTCTTTCTCATGCAATAGTGATGGCAACAAAATCATTACATTGCGATGTATCTCTAAAAAATTATTGACCGTATAGTGAGTGCAGTGAGTCTGATTCCATGCGAGTGTTCTCATAAGAAGTCGAAGAGTAAGATTAATTCGAAATAATTTGTAGAGAAAATGCATAGCTATTAAAGAAGAATTAAGAGATTAATGTGGTCAGGCCGGCAGATTTTTTTTTTTACTTGTGAAGTGATTTCTAGTGATTCATCTAAACCATTTTTTTGCACGGTATAGTGTCACGTTCATAAAATTATCGTTTGTTGTGATTTCTTTTTTTTGCTAGGTGTCGAAATTATATTCGCGTTGTGATTTTTTTTATATATGCGCAAAAGGGACATATTTTATTCAGGGTGTCTCCAATAACTATCGTTCCGTGTAAACTCTATCATTGAGCTAGAATCACAAATGAGTAGCACTCTGTAACTGTATGTCTAACGTCAATGCCAAGGAATAAGATGCTCTCCTAGATTATCAAAGTCGCGAGATATTTTGCGTGATTACATAATGTTGTGACATGTTTACTAGGATGTAAATGAGTATTTTGCTTTGTATTTTTTTATATTATAATTTTTTTTGTCTTTTTTGGGTTGCTCTGGTTTGAGGGGTAGAATTCGGGTACTTGAGGGGGATAATCGCTGACTACATTGTATGAGGTTATCCTAGGATCCTATCTCTTCTTATAATGCGAGGTAGGATGGATAAAGTATTCAAGGGGATTAACGACACAGGTCGATAGTAATGACAGGTGGTGAAAGAAGGGGATGGGAGTTGGCGAGAGTAAATCAAGGGGAAGATGTACACGGGCGCGCTAATAGGGCAATTGACCAAGTTAATTGTTATGAAGCTAGTTTTTTTCTCGGGTTAGGAGTTGAAACTGAATGAAAAAAAAATACTGTAGGCTAGCCGACATTATTTTTTTAGGGTTATTGAGGGGATGATTAGGAATAGGAATAAATTATAAACAATGATTAGGAATGGGAATAAATTAGGATTGTACACAAGAAAAGGAAACTTAGACTTAGGGGAAAACACTTGTCGTCAGGGAAATTCAAGCGACGCCTTAAGCCAGTGCGGGTCGACGCGTGATCGGGGCTATATAAGGCGAGCGCGGCGGATGTGGGAGTTAGTGAAGTGCGGGAGCTCGTGAAATCCGCATGTCGTTTGGTAGCGCGACCGAAAACTGAGAGTGCCGGTGTTTTTTTCTGACTCAGCCGACGTAATCGTGGAAAGACTTTCGCGAGAGTGAGATCAACAGTGATTGCTGGGAGAATCGAGACGAATATCGTGGGTATGGAAGTACTGTTCAGAAGAGATTAGATTACTAGCACACCGTTTACCGACAACCGCCGGCAACGAAGAAATAAATGATTGGGAAGAAGTCCTCGTATTCTACTCGACGAAGTCCTGCTCAGGGAAACTAATTTAGCACTACGTTTATCGACGAAGATAGTTCATTCTTGAAGTCAACGTCTACGAATTCCGGAGAAGAATAATCGACCTGCGAATAGATCCACCGGAGTGGTCAAATAAAAGGAGCTACGACTAAACGGCTGCTAAGAAAGTATCTGGAAGCCGGCCTACAAACTACAGAGAACTACCACGATCTGGCCGTCAGCAGCTATATTATAGCCATACGAAACTTCGAGGGTCGTCATTGAGGAACACTACGGGAGCACTGTGGAGCAATTTATAATTCTGGGTCTGTTAGTAATATTGCCTAATTCTGTTGTCTCATGAACAGCTGTTATAGAATAGGATCTCTTTCGACAAGTAAACCTGTGTACTCGTATTCTCATCGTTCCTAGCTCTGTATCTAGGCGTAGGGCATCTTTTCTAGTATATGAAATTGGAGATAAACGTGTGTTTCATTCTCCTTGTCAAGTCGTAAGCTGCCAGTATAGAGAACCTTCTATCGCGTCCTTTTAGCCACTCGGTACGAGAAAAACCAACCTGACAGTATTTTAAATTGTTTATTGAAAACTCTACCGAGAGAAAAGTTCATTCATGAGATAAAGAAATAGGTATCGAAGTAACCGGTTGTATTGAAATAAATATAAATACTTGTCGTCGCAAACCCCTATATCGATAAGCATAGTTTCGGTTGCATATCACTACATTAAGATTAAAAGAAAAGTAGAAAAAAAATTAACGGAAAACACCAGAATAATAAACACAATAATTTTCGAGATGTCATCGTGAATTGCGTGATT